TCGTTTGTATAACCTTCATATATTATTCTTTACATCTTCAACAACATATTGCGAGATTGAGAGTTTAGATTTCAATTGAGATTAATGAAATCTTGATATTGTAAACACAAAATTATTGATTGTAGTGGATTGTTCTCCTCTGCCTGTGATTTTTTCCCGAATTGGGTTTCCATGTAAATTCTTGTGTTTTTGTTCTCTTCTTTATTTCATTATTACAATTATCTTGTAATCTGTTTCATAACAAGTAGTATCAAAGAGCAATATTGATTGTTCCGCATGGCGACAATGAAGTATGACATTCCGTTGTTGGATAGAAACACGAGATTCACATTATGGCAAGTGAAGATACGAATGATGTTGGCGCATATGGATTTGGAGGAAGCCTTGCTTGGCTTTGATAGGATGTCTGCTGCCTGGACGTAGGATGAAAAGTGGCGTAGAGATCGAAAATCCCAATCTCAAATTCATCTACATCTCTCAAATCACATTCTTCAAGAAGTTTTTAAGGAAAAGAGTGCAGCTGCATTGTGGTTAAAGTTGGAGCAATTTTGCATGACAAAGAGCTTGACCAATAAGCTACACTGGAAACAACGCTTGTATTTTCACCGGATGTCTGAAGGTACGTCATTGGATGATCACTTAACTATGTTCAAAGAAATCGTAGCCGATTTAGAGACAGTGGAGGTTAAGTATGACGATGCGGATTTGGCTTTGATGTTGTTGTATTCACTAGCACCATCATATGTAACTTTTAGAGATATTATTCTCTATGATTGGGATACTCTCACCGTGGAAGAGGTTTATGATACTTTACTATTTAAGGAGAATATGAGGCATCTTACTGTAGGATCTGGAAATCACGCTAAAGGTTTGGTTGTGTGTGGGAGGAATCAAGATAGGAATCTTGGCAGAAATATGAGGGGCAGATCGAAGTCTAGACATGCTGAGAAGACATGTCATTACTGCAAGAACAATTGGCATATTAGAGCTGATTGCCTTGCCTTGAAAAATAGAAATAAAGCTGTTGGTGCTGCGGAGAAAGGGAAGCAACATGTTAATACAGCGGAGGCTGATGTTGTGGAGGATGAGCAAAGTAGTGGAGAGTTTCTTGTGATTTATGACGGAGATACTAAATCTAGTGATGAATGAGTTCTTAACTCGGCTTGTACTTTTCATATGTGTCCAACAGAGACTGGTTTTCTACATATGAAGAAGTTTTGAGAGGTGTTGTGATTATGGGAAACAATGCACCTTACAAGATTGTTGGAGTTAGTACAGTCAGAATCAGGATGTTCGATGGAATTATCAGAATGTAAGACATGTCTCAGAATTGAAACGGAATCTCATATCTTTGAGTACACTTGACTCAAAGGACTACAAATACACTGGTTAAGATGGAGTTTTGAAGGTGAGCAAGTGTTCTCTTGTTGTCATGAAGGGGCATAAAAACTCTATACAGCTGTACATTTTGTACGGTTCCACAATGATTGGGGATGCATTAGTTTCTACTTCTTCTCTAACGGATGATGAAGTTACAAAACTTTGGCATATGAGGGTCAGGCATATGAGTGAGAATGGGATGACAGAGCTGAGTAAAAGAGGACTTCTT